TATTCTGTAGATGGAAAAATTGAGACATAGTTAGGCTAAGCCTCGTATTGAGAACATACAGTTAGTGGGGAGCAAGGACACAGAGTTTGTAAGGAGCAGACACGTGGCTACAATCAAGTCTGTCTGGCCTCAAGTCTTGATCTTAACCTTGGCCTTTCATTACTTCCCACGTAAAAGCTTTCCGAGGTTACCAAGATACTTCTTTAACATCCATCTTTCAACAAAGCCTTTGAGAAGGCTTTCTCATCCTAACTCATGGAGGCATGAAATATAGATTCAAAAAACACTTGGAGATTTGAAATATGTCAACTTTGCTCTATGAGAATTTCCCAACTCCCCTCTCAAGAGAATTTAGAATTACTAATTTACTTAATTTTTTATATAGTTAAATCAGTTAATAACATTAGTATCCCTGTCCATTTCTAATTTGCTCTAAATTCACTATTAATTGTATTTTATCATATTTTGAATGCTATTTATTCGTAATCCACTTTCATATTCAATCTCAATATAGCCCTGTAAGATGAGTGCATTATTTCTAACTAATATAGAAAAGTTGAGGCTTAGTATGGTTTATTTCACTTTGTCCAGGATGGTGTAACTAAAAAATGATAGAACTAGAAGCCAGTTTCCTTTCTGGTGTTCTCTGTTTCATTTGAGAGCTCTCCAAAATCTGAAGTCCCTGGAAGTATTGCGCCTTGTTTCACCTCATGCAGAATAATAGTGTTGTATTTCATATTATATTATAATAAGGGTTCTCTGGTAATTTAAGTACATGGAGGCCAAATTTGATCTTAAGAGATAAACAATAAAATCTTAAGCATTGAGAACTGAATGGGTTAAAGTGGGTGGAGGGAGATAGAGGAGGGTATTGAGGGATAAATAGTGATGGAAAGAGACTTGGGGTAATGAACATACACTACAGTGTACAGATGATGAGTTACAGGACTGTGCACCTGAAACCTGTGTCATTTTGTTAACCAGTGTCACCCTGATAATTACAATAAAAAGGGGAAAAATTGAATGGCTTATTGGAGAGTATCTAATTCATTTTTTTATTTTGCCTATAAAGAAACTGAGCCCCAGGGAAGGAAAGAGACATTTCTAAAATTGCACATTCAGATGTTTACAGATTTAGGATAAGAATTACACAAAGGAATACTACACAGCAGAAAGAAGGAGCTCCTGCCCTTCACAACAGCATGGATGGAACTGGAGAGCATTGTGCTAAGTGAAATAAGCCAGGCGGTGAAAGACAAATACCATGTGATCTCACCTATAAGTGGAACCTAATCAGCAAAACAAACAAGCGAGCAAAATATAACCAGAGACATGGAAATAAAGAACAAACTGACAGTAACCAGAGGGGAGAGGGGAGGAGGGTAATGGGGGAAAGAAAGAGAAGGGTCAAGTCAAGGAACATGTATAAAGGATCCAAGGACAAAAACAATGGCGATGGGGTGGGGCATTGAATGCGGGAGGTAGAGGGTGGGTAGGGCAGGAAATGGCGGGAGTAATGGGGGAAAAATGAGGACAACTGTAATTGAACAACAATAAAAAAATTAAAAAATAAAAAAATCATCAGCAAAAGAAAAAAGAAATCACATCTCTTAAATCCCAACCTGTTTATCTTTTCCTTACATGGAATAGCTGATATTCTCACTTATTACAGAGTAATTCAAACAAAAGATATTGTTTTGTTTGCCTAATTGATCTACATAATTACTTCAATGCGCGTCACTGTTTTCCAAGTGAGACCTGCCTTGGGAAATAAAGATGCTGAGAGATCATAACCAAATGTATTCTTTTACTTTGCCCATTAATTAGGATTTTCTCATATGAAGGCAAATTACAACTGTAAAGAATTTCTTTCTGCTCTCATTTGCAAACAGATTTAGATGTCTCTCCATTTTATTCCCAAAATAAACATGTAAATGAAATGGGAATATAATAAGATTGACGCCTTCCATCTGTCCAATCTCTTTGGTAGACCAAGGATATAGTACTGCTTTTTGCTTACTATTTTGGAAAGGAAAGTTAATACCAAATATTTCTATTAGTCCTTCATACTATGATAACTTTACTCCAGTGACCAGAGACCCACTGTGGAAATGTATGCCTCCTGTAGAATACATTTACTCTAACTGTGTTTGCAGAACGGATCCACTGGAACAGCTTTGGGCCATATTCTTTCACCTTCAGTCCACTTTCCAACCAGTGAACTACACTGTCATTCTGCCACCCAAAAATGAGTGTTAGCTTAGAACCTATTTCCAGTCATCTCCAGAAAGATTTGAGTATTTATCTTTGCCCAGAGCACAATACCCTGCTAAAGAGTCTCAGATCACTCACAGAAAGGTTAGGATGAAGATTTATACCAACTATTTGTCATAAGAAATGACAAATTTGTCATTTGTCATTTATCACTGAGTTCTTATTCGAGGATACCCAAGGACTCCCTTATTCAAAAAGCTCTGAATATGGAAACTATTCATATCTGGTGATTGGATCAGGAGCTGTTACTTGAATTGAATCCTGATGATTCAATTATCAATCTAGATTCATTTTTAGCATCATCACACTCATCTGCTTAGGCTGACATCACAAAATACCATAGACTGTATAGCTTACACATGAGACACTTATTTTCTCACAGTTCTGGAGGCTGAAAGTCCAAGATCAAGGTGGCAGCAGAGGTGGTTTCTGGTGAGGCCTCTCCTCCTGGCTAGCAGGTGGCCAGTTTCTCACTCTGTTCTGACATGGCCTTTCCTCAGTGCACATGGAGGGAGACAGCTCTGCTATCCTGGTAAGGATGCCAGTTCTATTGGATTAGGACCCTACCCTATTGATCTCAAGGAGTGCCAGTTATTGCAGTCCCCACAATTCAGGACTTTCAAACCTAGGTATCAGCTATAAGAATAAAGAAACTCTTTAGATGATTTTTGCCTCAGCCAGTTTCTGACAGCATGAGAGATGCTGAGCCAGACACACCCAGCTGAACTGCCCAAATCCTTGACCCACTAAAACCATCAGAAATAATAAAGTGATTGTTGGTGTTTTAAGCCAATAAATTTGGGGGCTATTTTTTATACTGCAATAGCATCTGAAATACTACAGTAATGTAAACATAGCAGTATTGGTTCATGGATAGAATAATTGAACAAAATAGAAAGCTAAGAAATAGAATAATAGATATATATTTTTTTAATACATGAAAGTAGTGGTATTATTTCAGGGCAGAGGGAAACAGAGGTTCTTCAATAAATGTTCTGGGGAAATTTAGTTATCCTTATGATAAGAAAAGAAAGTATATATACACCTCATACCATACCTGAAACTTCATGTCCTACGTGGGTTAAAGATATAAACGTAAAAAGGAAAACTTTAAAACTTTTAAAGAAAATTATAAACTTTCTTTAGAATGGCTTTGAGAAATACGTGTAGAGATCTTTCATCCTGAGTCCGGCTTCCTCATCTCTGCATCCCTGGTCCAACCATGTCCACTCCAGCACCAGGTATCAGCTCCTCCAATTCTAATAATTTTGAAGTACTTAATCCACTGTGTTAGATTCCTTTTCGTTAAAAGATATAGAGTACTTTTTATTTCCTCCATTGCAGAATAAAGAAAACTTTATGGCAGGCATTTCAATATTCATTAAATAGATGGAGTCATTAATATTATTAAAGACACTAAGTAAATCCAATTTAAATTGAGAAAAGTATGAAAGCAAAGAAATACCAATTTTATGCCTTATAGTATATAAGTTACGAGTTGACTTCTCAGCAGGGAAATATATAATACTGGAGCTTTAAAAAAGAAATGATCTTTGTAATACAGTATTAGACCTCCAAAACTGCTAGAAAGCAATTACAAACTGAGAAGTCACCTTTAATTAATCACTGAAGTCAAGAACATATAATTTAGAGATAATCAGAAATGCATTCATTATGCAAAATTAAACATTCTTTTCCCAAAATGTTTAATATTTATTGCATTTTTAAGGGTACCCAGAGAGTTCATTGAATGTAGGCTGACTCTGGGATTCTACCATGATATGAGTGGCTTAAATATGTATTTCAACCATTTGGAGGAGGCCAGTTGATCTAGATGTACAGAATGGGGTTGAACAGTTTAATTTTTCAGTCTAAAATTTGATCAGAATATACAAAATCAATGATATGCTACCATCACAAGATAGACGTATCTTCAGCTGTGAATACATGCTGTGAATTTATATTTTTTAATTGTTTTTAGGGATGACATTGGTTAATAAAATTATATAGGTTTCAAGTGTATGATTCTATATCATCTATATATTGCACGTGCGTTCCTACCACCCAGAGTTAAATCTCCCTCCAACATCATGTATTTGACCCCTCTTTACCCTTTACTCTCTCTCCCCCACTCCCTTGCCCCTTCCCAGTGTGGTAACCACCATGCTGTTGTCTGTGTCTTTGAGTTTTTCTTTGTTTTTTCCTTGTTTGTTCATTTGATGCTTTCAGTTTTATACCCCATTTGTGAGTTAAATCATATAGTTCTTATCTTTTTCTGTCTGACATTTCAGTTAGCATGCTGTGAAATTTTATAGCAATTAATTTGACCAAGGCATTTATCTTTACTGTTAGATGACCAATTTTTTAACCATGTAAATTTTTAATTTTCAAATTTTACTTTCCTGGACTAAAAGTGACAAAGTTTTAAGAGGTCACCTTCCTATGTAGCATGGAAGTACATACTTCACAAACAAGAACCTGAAGTAAAACAAAACAAAATAAAACATTGTGCACTAAAGAATCTTAACACAGTGTGACTATCTAAATAAGAGATTAAACCTATGTGATTCTCTTGCTCTCTGAGCACTGTAACATACTCCACTTAGATAAAGATTAATATATATGGCTGTTTCAGTATAATTAGGCTGAATAACTCAAAGGAAATGATTTTTTAAATGTAATCACTGATAGTCAAAGTATTCCTTGATTCCATGAAAGAAAAAACATCATGTTCTGCATGTGGGAAGCAGCCCCCTTCTAACCAAGGCCACACAGTTACTCCAAAGTTTCCTCATGGCATTTTTCATTTCTGCGTTTCTCAGGGTGTAGATTAAGGGGTTCAACAGAGGAGTTATGAAAGTCAAAACCACAGTCATGGATTTATCAATGGGAAAGGTGGAACTGGGCCTTGCATACAGGAAAATGCAAGGGACGAAAAATAAAATGACCACAGTCATATGGGACGCACAGGTGTAGAAGGCTTTGCGTTTCCCTTCTAAACCACGTGTCCTAAGGGAGTATAATATGACCCCATAGGAAACTAGAAGAATGAAGAAGGTGATAGTGCAGATTGCCCCCCCATTAGCTATCATAGACACCCCAATGAGGTAGGTATTGGTGCAAGCAAGTTTCAATAAGGGATACATATCACACACAAAGTTGTCGATGACATTGGGGCCACAGAAAGGGAGCCTATAAATAATGAGAAATTGAACCAATGAGTGTAGAAAGCCCCCAGTCCAGGCCACCAGCAGCATGAGCACACATACCCGCCGATTCATAATGATCAGATAATGAAGAGGTTTACATATGGCCACGTATCGGTCATAGGCCATCACCACCAGAAGAATGACTTCAGCGCCGGCAAAGAAGTGATCTATAAAGACTTGAGTCATACAAGCCTGGAAGGAAATAGTCTTTCTCTCATAGAGCATGTCTACAATCATTTTGGGAGCAATGGCAGTAGAATAGACAGTATCTATAAAGGATAAGTAAGCCAGAAAGAAGTACATTGGGGAACCCAGGGACTGGCTGGCCATGATGGTCACCATGACAAGCAGATTGCCCACTAGCGTCACAATGTAGATGAATAAGAATGCAACAAAGAGAACTCTTTGTCCCTCAGGGCTTTGTGTGAGCCCCAGGAGAATAAACTCAGTCACGTTGTTCTTAATTCCCATGTGTCTTCAGAAGGTGTGGAACCAGGTGTCAGAGGCTGCAAACAAAAGGGCCAATAGTGAATTTGAGAGGATCACACCCTTTATGTCAAAACAAAATATCTTTTTCAACCATATTTGCTCCACAGGGCTCCACGCAGAGTACCTCTTTAGAAAAGCAGAGTTTGGAGTCTCCTCCCACAGTTACTCCACTCATTTTCACAAAATTCCTTGCCTCAGCTACAATGATGAGACTTCAGCCCTCCAACTGGCAGGCCTGTGTATGTGGGTGCATCTGTGAGATGATCCGCTGAATGAGAGGAAAGCCCTTTCTCCAGAATACCTCTCACAAAGACTGAATTTTTGGCATCGTACATCACGTCTTGTTTCCTTACTTTTTGACCTTCTAGATCCACCATGAAAAAAAATCTCATCTCTAATAACTTTTCTTATGTTTTTACATAAACTAATACCTAGTATCGGAGCATCAAATTATAGGCTGATGTTTAGGTAACTGCCTTTCTGAGTTACTTTACGATGAGCTCCAAAAACCAAGGAATAAGCCCAGGCAGCAGCGCAAGGACCAGGCACATCATGAGTGCTCATCAAATACTTATTAAATTCCTTTAATTAAACTGAATTTTACAACTCATAGAAGAGCAACTGAGCAGAAATAAATGTATTAAATTCATCCCAGCCAAGAAAGAATGATGAAAGCAAAGTGTTGTTTGAGAATACACATTCACATAGGTCCACACACACACACACAAACTGAATTGACATTTATTACAACTTAGGTATTGGAGGGAAAATGGGTAATACAAATCTAAGTGCACGAGTATTACACAGACATTTTTCTTACTTTCTAAAATTGTTTAGAATTATTATTTCTAACCACAGCTCAGGTCAGAATGCAAAAAAATAAAGATTTTAGGCAGAATCATGTAATAGTAGAAAGAACTCCATGCTAAAAAATCTAGAAATATTATTTGATTTGCTCAGCCATCTCGGAAAAAAAATCACATGCCAACTCATAGTCTTATTAGAAAGGTTATGCTGTTTCCAGATGTTTGCATTTCTTAATTTTTGTCATTGAAATTTTTATCCTAACTGACATGCTAACACTTTTGCTGGTAGACTATTTTTATATTAATCAGATGAATTAGTAAGTGTTACAGGTTATTTGATTATTAAAGTAATTAATCGATTAAACCAATTATTTTGTTCATTTTGTTAGTTCTTGGTTATCTGAGTCTGTGTGGAATATAAGACATGCATTCTCATTGAGGAAAATAAGTCACTTGTTGGGCCTTTCAGGTAGGATCCAGAACCAATTTACCTGCAATGTGTGTGACTTCGTTTTGGCAGAATTATTTAAATGTGCTCCATTTCATTGTCTACATTTGCAGATCATCATTTGTAAAGGACAGGAGATTATTCTGGATGTGTGCTTCTGGGCAAGCCAACTTTGTACTCAAACATCAGAAGAAGAATAAAAGTGTAGAAGAAAGTAAGAGATAATGGGGAAAAAAGGCAGATAGAAACCAGCAAAGACCTTATGCTGAATGAATATGCTTTGAAATTGGTAAACAATTTGATGTGGGGGCCTAAATGAGTTGGGGGTAGAGGAATTTCAGATTTCCTGAGCTGTCAATCCAGGGGTGGACTGGAGTGTAACTCAGCATCACAGAACCAGGATATGCCACAAAAAATCTTTATACTTCCAGACCAAAGACAAATGAGAAATCAAATTCTAAACTTTTAGATATATTAGTATAAGAGACTAGTTGCCTAAAGGCATTCCACTTTCAGGGCTTCTTAAAGTTCATTGCATGTAATTAAATATTTTCCTCGCAATTATAAAGCTGTAGCTGCATTTGTAATGAAAAATAAGTATTCACAATTCATAGGAGTTGTCTGAGCATTCAAGAGAAAAACTTCCAGTAGGAGGGTCTAACACCTTCACCTGCTGAGTATGTACAACACTCATTTGTTTATAGCTGTGCTTCCCCTGCCACCTGTTGGGTCTGTCAGATAGTAAACATTTTATATATACTATATATTTTTTTAAGATTGTATTTATTTATTTTTAGAGATAAGTGAAAGGAGGGAGAAAGAGAGAGAGAGAAACATCGATTGGTTGCCTCTCTCAGGCCCCGAACCAGGGACCCGCAACCCAGGCATGTGCCCTGCCTGGGAACCAAACCAGCAACCTTTCGGTCCACAGGTTGACCTTTAATCCTCTGAGCCACACCAGCCAGGCAACATATCTTATTAATAACTACCTCCAGAATCTTTGACCCTTATGCATTTTGAGTGATCAATACATATTTGACTCGTAAAAATGTTCTTGTGGGGGTGGGTGGGGCAGGGGAAAGTGGTGGCAGGAAAATGGAGACAAATGTATTTGAACAATAAAAAAAAATGTTCTTAGGAGCATATAATTGCTACTCTTAACTATTGAAAACTATTAATTTGATTCAGAATGGTATAAAATTCTATACATTATCAATATTGTATTTTATTTAAAAAAAATATGTTTCAAACATTTGTGAAATTCTTCAAATTTTTTTAGCATATTCCATAAGAACAAATAACTTATTAAGGAATGTTCAACAATGCAAATCCATGATACCTATCCCATGATGACAATTAAAACAAGATAAATTAAGCAGATAAACAGATCTACACTATCCCAAATTCAACAACAGAAGGCAAAAAAACCACTTACACAGTATGCAAGGGATAAAATATTGGAAACACTTTCAATCAGCTAGATATTTAAAAATATAGAATCTGAAATTTTGTGTTTCAGTCCAGATCCTTTTAAAACATAGGATCACAACGCACGCCTGCTTAAACATGTCTCATTAATTCTCTATATAGTTAGGCATGTTTCCCATGCAAGCAGTAGTTTAGTTAAATGATTGAGCAGAGACCAAAAAAATGATGCAGCAAAAATGTTGAGGTCCTAATAAACTCCTCATCAGCTCATGAGATTTTTTAGAGATAAATTACAAATAAATAGCATATATTCCAAGTCAACTTCTTCATAGTAAAGGGGAAAAGCTGCCTCTAAAACCTGAACATGATTGGACAGACGTTAGGGATAAACAAAGAACAACAATCAGAGCACGGATTGCCTATCTCATATGTAGTTTTTGTCAGTTTGGTTCTGTTCTGTTTTGTTTTGTAACTTGGCAAAGGTGGCCCTGGATGCCTGCAGTGCTTTATGAGAATCGGGGCTCTAATTTCTGGTTTGGAATTTGATCCTCAGAATCTATACGTATCAATTCTGTGACCTTGGGTAAATCATTCAGCATCGTCTATATAATAAGACTTATAATAGCATCTAACATGTAGGATGGTTTTAAGGATTAAATTGGACAATGCAAAACAAAGCTCTCTGAAAATTGTATGACAAATTTTAAAAACTGAAGACATTATTTACTGTTATTTGTTTTCCTGTGTACGTTTGGTGCCACATCTCTGCAATTAGTTTTACATGCATTTCCCCAAAGTCCACTCTCTTCTGTAATTACCCAAAGGAGCATTTTCCTGAGGGATGGATGGATTGACTGGGCATCATATATGATTAATGGAAGCCATACTTTCTTTACCATTCACATTACTGCATGGAAGTCCCCTTGGCTATCTTTCTCTGTATCTCATTATCCTCTTTGATATTTATTGTTAAAAATAATATGAAGGATCTTCTTTTATAAATTAAGAGGTCAACTGGGTGAATAATGCAATGTATCCCATTTCATTCACAATATATTTAAGACCCCAAAGATGAGAAAATATCCATGCAATTAACCTACAGACAGAAACAGTTAGCATTTTCTTTAAGATTCTGTAGATTTTGTATCTAACATAATTCATAAATTCTATTTCGACAGGCACTAAAATTCACTTTTGAATAAGGTCAATAAATCTAAAAAGTAACTGAATTTTTCTGAACTCATGTTTCCACATTGTAAGTTCGGAGATTCCCTCTGTAATAAGTGGCTATTAAGTTACATATTAAAATGTTATTTGGGGTATATATACAAAAAAATAGGAAACAGAAACTCAAACAGATATTTGTACACCAGTGTTCACTGCAACATAATTCACAAGAGCCAAAAGGTGTAAACAACCCAAATGTCTATCAAATACTAAATATGATAAACACACTGTGGTATATACAGACAGTGGACTCTTATTTAGCCTTAAAAAGAAAATTCTGATGTATGCTACAATGTGGATGAACCTTGAAGATATTATGCTAAGTGAAATAAGCCAACCACAAAAGGGCAAATATTTTATCATCCCCTTTTTATGAGATACATAGATTAGTCATATACACAGACAGAGAAAGCACAACAATGGTTCTCCAAGGGTGGGAGACATGGACTTGGGGGATTATTGTTTAATGAGTACAGAGTTTCAGTTTGGGAAGGTGAAAAAGTTCTGGAAATGGATAGCAGCGGTAAATGCACAATAATGTATTATGTATATTTTACCACAATAAAAAAATACCCACAGAAATAAAATATCTACACAGAACCAAAACATTTAAAGGCTCTATACACAAAAATAACAAGTTCTAAAGAGCTATAGTAATCCTTACTATTATCATCAATATATTAAAATGCAAAATATGTAATTGCTAGATTCTGCATATAAAGCAATCTACAAAAGGTATTATGAAGACTGTGTGTGTGTGTATATATCTTGTTATATTGTTACATTATACTATGTGCTTTCTCTTTTTCAGCATGTATTTAAACAACTCCAATATGAAATACTGGAGACCTTATTGTCTTTATATTTGTTCAGTAATATTTTATAAAATGAATAAAATGCATGCTCTTTCTTATATCTGAAGTTTCTGCCATAAAACATTTAAGATCAAATTATGAAACTTGCATTTTAAAAAGATACATCATTCATAGTAAATCTGTTTATCCCTATTCTCATAGCATTAAAGAGTCTTTGTGAACATGTTACCTGGCTCTTCTATATCTTCTGCTATTTCTTGTTCCAAATCCAGCCTTCTGCAATTCTGTATTTGGTTCTGGAAGACAAAGTTTAGTTTGACGCAGATAAGTCAGGATGAGCGCCACGTCAGCCCAGGTGTGGCTGCAGAGAACAGATGAGGGCGCACCTGGTCACTGCAGCTGGGAATGCTGCTCACATCCAGGTCTCTCTCCCTTTGCTCGCACAAATCATGACTGTCTGCTTCAACTTTCATAAAGATTTTACAGTTTGGATTATGAAATTATCCAAAGTTGGTTTTGAGAAGATAGAGCTCATATGATTTATTAATGACCAAATTTAAAAGCTGTCATTCAGAATATGTATCAAAAATCACATTTTAACCTAATTATTGAGTTTAACTCATCAAATAAATTGACAGAACTTCTAATAGCATATTTAATCAATAATGCTGACCTAGATAATCAAAGAAAAGGGTTTTCTTTAAATACTTTTAAAATATTCCTACAACTATTTTAATATGGTTCATGTGTAGCAAAGTAGTAGCTTTTATTTTACATCCTGACTATAGCATTAATACTCAAGGAGAAATCTTCCCCCAGGTAAAGAAATATATGATTGGGCATTTAATCAACAATGAATAATAAATCACTTCACCAAATTGTTAAAACAGTTTATCCCCAAGGCTGCTTGTTCAAAAATGAATTCACTGAGGAATCGTACCCTAGAGAACTAAGACCTTCTACATGATTCTTCCAGAGCATTTGATATTTTCAGAGGCTTCTCCTGGCCAATAACTTTAGGAAAATTAAGTGAAAAAATAGAAATCTAACAACAATGAGCAAGTCACTTATTAATAGCAAAATCATAAGACTGCATGAACACCCTTTCAACATCCTGCAACTTGAACCAGATAGAAGGAGCTCTGAACAGCTCCATGTACCAGTTCCTCCACCAGGATCATCTCAGTGACCTATCTTCAGCTTCACTGATTGTTTCTTCTGTTTTCTCAGATCTACTGTTGAACCACTTTAATGAATTTCTTATTTCAATTATTGTCCAGAATTTATTTTTGTTCTTTTTCATAATTTTCATCTGTTTATTGATATGAATCACTTACTGTCGCGACATTGTTTTATACTTTTTTCCTATAGTTTTTTTTTCCTTTATAGCTCTTTAGACATGGTTTTCTTTAGTTCTTTGAATATTTTAAAGTAACTACAGTCTATGTCACTGATCTTACAAGTTTCCCCATTACTCAGAAACACCTAACACAATAAAACAATGAAATGGGATGGTGAAGGCTCTATGGCAGTGCCACTTGAGACCAAAGACATCAGAAAACAGTGCTGGCTTGTTATCCTAAAAGATATGGTGTACACTTAAGCCAAACCAATACTTAAATCAGGCCATCTCTCCAGTAGTCAGAATGGTCAGAATGCACAAAACTTAGTGAATCGAATGTAGACATCAGAATGACCTTCATCATTCTTACACCTCTTAGATATGATAACCCACCTAAGGTATTTTTGATTCAGTTACTTAGAAGTTAGAACTTGGTATGTCTGAAAGCCCTAGTGCCCACAGAAGAATACTTATACCAATGAACACAGTCATGGATACATTAAGTTTTAAATGGAAAATGACCATCATTTTATTGGGTTTCCCAGGCTTATGAAATGGGCAGGAAGATCCCTGTACTGAGTTGAGTGCTTGATCCTAATTAACAACAGAAAATTGGGTTGCTACACACAAATGAAGTCATGAAAATACAATGTCTCCTTCTACTCCTGTGCCCAATAGAGAACAATGAGAAACAGGGGAAAAACAACAAAACAGAACCATTATAGACTTGACTCCTATGGTAATTAAAGTTTGAATCACCCAACTATATGATGTACTCTGACCGGCCAAGACACTGGCAGAAAGTACAAGGAATACAACATTGATGGTTGAGAAGTTATTATTATTAACCTGATAATATGACAAGCTGTAGAAGCTTAGACTGAACTGGATATTTTACTTTGTGCTCTTTATCTTTCTTTAGCTCTTTATCTTTTCCCCACTGTGCTACTTCATATGAAGAACATTGGTGGTTCATATTTCAATTAGGTTTGAAATGGGAGTATGCCTGACCTGAAATCAACCAATAATATGGAAGTTAAAGGGACTTTTTATATTTCCTATGTTGGGGACAGAGTTTTACTTCCTATCCAAAGTTGTAAGTGAATAGTAGAAGCAAAAAGGATTGGGTGTCATGGATATGGTACATTGGCTCCTGTAGATCCCAACTCGAATCTTTTCTACCTTATTCTAGGCCCTAAAAAGCTCACCCCTAAAACAGGCATCAACCAAGCTAACTTTCCCTTTAGCTGTTGGTTAAGTTCAGTCAATGGAAGGAAATAACAGGAGATCAGAGAGTGAAAAGACATCAAGATATTAATTCCTCTGCGACTCTCCCTTATGGGCCACAGTTTGGAAATGGCTGTCTCTCTAATCAAGGCACAGCTCCTGTCAAATGACCCTCCTTTTTCTGTTACAGTTATTCTCATGGTTTGAAAAAAAAATCTTTTCCTTTTTCCTCTTCGTATCTGGAGTAGTAATGATGTCCCACTGTTGCTAGTCCTAGGTACTTCACCATTTTTTAAAGCTCTTAAATCTTGTAAACTCTTCATAAATGGTTTCCAGTTGTTCCTTTGGAGAGTGATGTCTGTTTCTTAGAGGACACTTGAAATGATAATTTTTAATGAACACATTTTTTTATGGGGAAATACATAGGCCTCCCACATTAAAGCTAAGAATAAGTCAAGGTTTCCTCTACTCACAGTTATTAAATCATTTTTCCTCTCTTAAGTAATATAATATAAAAATAAGAAATGATATAAAATATTAGAAATATATTGGAAGGAAAAATCATTAATGATATCATTACTACTCAGCAACATTCCAAAAGTTAACTGAATCTAAAGACCTAAATAAATACTGAAATTTTCCATGTTCCCAGACAGAATGATTCAATGTGATCAAGGTATCGATTATTTTCCAAATTAATTAGACATTTAATACACTATCAATACATTAGTAGGTTTCTAAGACCTCTGAAATTATTCTAATAATTATGTCAAAAATAATTGTTGGAAACAGGAAGTGTTGTTTTTAATAAGATTATTGTGTGGTATGCCTCTTAACAGATATCAAAACCTACTTACACAACCTAAGATAATGTAGTATGGGCTTAGGGATAATAAACCAATAAAAAGAAAAGAGTCTAGAAATAGATACACAAGTATTTGGAGTTTACAGTAAATACCAGATGAGGAAAGTAGGTTGCTTTTTTGAAAAGTGTACTGAAAAACTTGGTTTTAAGGCAACAGAAAACCATTTATAAAGTAGATTTAAATTCTTTACACATATGCATAACCACAAACACACACATATAAAAACAAGCAGGAATGTAACCGATAATACATCTTCAGGAGAAAACTGTAACCGTCCAAAAAAGTGAGCGCATAAACAGCCTACTTAACACAAAATAATTTCTTTCAGGATGTCCATAGCAGCACAGAGTAGCACGCTGATCGAATGGGTTCATAATATGTGGTATATTTAGACATGGACTAAGTATATTTAGACATAATACACAGCAGGGAAATGACAGGACTTCAGAAACATGCAGCAACATGATCGAATCTTCAGAAGTCAACATTGTGGAAAAAAGATTCACAAAACCATGTACTATGCAGCATATTTTAATAAAGGTAAGGAATAAGAAAATTTAAACTCTATACCTTAAGGATATATACATATGTAGTTACACTATTTTTAACTATGATTAACCAAAAATTCAACATTGGGATTACCTCCGGAAAGAGGCTGAGGAATGGTATACACAGGTAATTTCAATACTGATCATATTCTAGGTATAAATTGCATATATTATTGGTATGCAGGAAAAAAATATAATAAAATTTTAAAGTAAGAAAAGGTCCAGTTTTTTTAGTTAGGAAAAAACTCTTACAAAACATAGATGATATTCCTACAATACAGTGAAAGCAATCCCATCTTCTTCCTAGTTTGTGAGGTTCCAGGATGGGCTACATGCTGAAAAAAATGTGTTTTTAAGATAAGATTGAAAAACAAAATTTTATCTCTATAAAAACAAATCATTATTAAGTCTATAATTTAAAGTATTTAAGTTGAATACAACTTTTAGGGAACGCATTGCTGTGCAAAATAATACAGTTCTTTACCCAATCTTCAGTATCATGAAGACAAAAAAGCTTCATCTATCCTTTGAATAATGGCAAAAATGCACATAATAACTAGTGAGGAAAAACATGAAAGCATGTTTACAACTTGGGTTAGTATGGTTTTCTGTCCTCTAATCAAGAACTAGAATCTGTTTTCACTGTCAACCATCCCATACAGGCTCATCCCTACCTGTGAATACCTCCAACATCCTGTCTAACAAAAATGCTTCCCGATTGTGTATTCAGCCAAATACGGTATCATCTCCCATCTAAACAGCCTGAACTTCAAATGCACAGACATCACCCTGAGGAACAGAAGTAATCTTGAAGACAAAGTGCCTAAGGCCACTGCAGGCAGCTATTGTGTGGATAGAATAACAAACACTAGAATTTAAAAACCATTGGTTTGATCTTAGAAATTTGTTCTAAACATTAGCCAAATTGCTTTTTCATTATTTTGGGTAAAAGCATATTTTCAAGGGTAGCTTGTTTTTCACTTCTCAAAGGAAAAAAGAAAACTCTTTCTCCTAAAGTTCCATTTCAACATAAACCCAAAAAAAAAGTTACAAGGTGAACTTAGTTTATTTTTCCTAGTAATAGGACAAATACCTGTGCCTTTTATTTATCCTTCAGGATTTCTCTATTAGATTGATTCTAACCTCAAAGGATAATTTATTCTACTTTTTGATAAATTTGTATAAATAAAGAAAAGCATCCTTAAAGAACTCATTGAGTTGACTAAGTCATCCATTGTTAGAACACAGTATTTGTTGCTTCAGAATTAGCAACAAATGCATTCACTGTGAGTGACACATTCTCATTTTATCTATAGCTAACATCTTACACCAGAGTTTTTTCATAGCATTTTTCATTTCTGAATTTCTCAAAGTGTATATTAAAGGATTCAACATGGGAGTGATAACAGTATAAACCCAATTATGAATTTATCAGTGGAGAAATTAGACACAGGTCTAACATACGTTAAAATGCAGGGAACAAAAAAGAGAACAACCACTGCAATGTGGGAACTGCAGGTAGACAGGGCTTTGTGCCTGTCTTCCCGACTGTGAGTTTTAAGGGAATTTAGGATGATCTCATAGGACATTAGCAGAAAAATAAACATGACCATACAGATGGCTCCACTATTGGCAACCACAGTAAGGCCTACAAAGTAGGTGTTGGTGCAGGCAAGTTCCAACAGTAGGTACATATCACAGATGAAGTGGTCAATGACATTGGGGCCACAAAAGAGGAGGCTGTACACAAAGAGAAGTTAGATGACAGAATGCACAAAACCTCCAACCCAGGCCACCACCAACAGCAGGATGCAAACCTGTCTGTTCATGATGGTTATGTAGTGCAGTGGCTTACAGAGGGCCACATAGCGATCAGAGGCCATTGCCATCAGAAGGAAGACCCCAGCACCCCCAAAGAGGTATTCCAAAAAGAGCTGTCCCGTGCAAGCTGGGAAGGAAATTGTCTTTTGACCATGGAGTAAGTCTATGATCAATTTGGGTGAAATGACAGTTGAATAACCCACATCCACGAGTGACAGACAAGGAAGAGGGACATAGGGGAGCCCAGGGAGGGGCTGGCAAGAACAGTCACCACAATGAGCAGGTTGCCCACCATTGTCACAATGTAAATGAGTAAAAATATGACAAATAATCCTTTTTGGCCCCCAGGATCCTGAGTGAGGCTCAGGAGGACAAATTCTGTCACATTTTGCTATGTCCCATTTTGTCTTCTCTAAAGCCTGTTTCAGGGATGAGAGGTCAGGAAAATGGGCCCTGTAATGACGCCATGAACACAACTATGAGTACATGCATTATGTTTTGGAGTATATCTTCTTTATTATGTCTTCTACAGGGGTTTACGCACAATAAACATTTAATAAATATTTATGAGTTCTTCTTAATAGCTTATTGTACCTTCACTTGACAATTCTATTTCTTCTCAAATAATTTTGTTTGGGCTACAAGTAAGAGGTTCTAGCTCTAAGTCTTAGTGGATTTTCTACAGAGAAAAGTATCAAAGGCCCAACAGCCAGTCATTTCTTTAATAGAGCCTTATTTAAACTGCCAGTCTGGGTACACAAGTCAGCAATGACTTATTCTCTGGCAGTGGCAAAAGAAATCTCTAAATAAACTGGCATGTAGTCAGTCCTCTGAGTTGGTGGTATTTGTGGTGAGTACCTTTATAATATAATTTATATAGCACCAAAAAGAATGTCTCTTTTGTAATAACTCACTTAATACTCTGATAATCTGCTATTAAATATTCAGTCTTTTATGTCTCAAAAGATGATCAGTCTTGCTGGATCTCTCATTAAATTTCCAGAGGCTGGACTGTATCAAACCATGACATTATTAGCACATTGTTCTCTATAGTAATTACTTGGTTTGACTCTGTGACTGTCAGCTCTTTTTCTTTCTTTTGGTTTTTTGTTGTTTTTTTTTTTTTGACTGTCCACTTTTTAAGGAGTTGTAATTCTCTCCATTTTATCTTTGTCTATCCCACAACTCTTAACACAGAGACAATATTTAGATTTTCACCAAATATTTTTTAACTTAACTGCCTTGTGACTATCAACAACTATTACATTAACAGCTGGTATTATTTTTTTCAAAACTCTTGGAGTGACCTACATAATGAGGGAAGAGAGGTATAGAGGATGATGAGACATGGGTATATTTATAATTCTTCCAAGGTACTTAGAGTGCTCAAAAATGGAGCTTTGGTGCCCAGATCCCAAAAATCAGCCTACTCAAGGGAAAAGCCCAAGGTCAGTGTAAGAAGGTATGGGTTTGAGTCATCTCTAAATGTAATTGCAAGTCTGTCTCAGTTTGCTCATTGGAAGGTAAAGGACTTGAACTAGACCATCTCAGAAGCCTTTTCCAGTCACATTCTATGGCACTTTTTGTGCAACCCTATCTTATATTCTATTCTGCTGACTTTTTCATATTTTTTATACCAAAATAAAAATTTCCAGGCCTATAACTGTTCCTTGAAAAATGCTACACAGTAGTAAGTGGTATTTTATAATCACAGAGACAAAATACTGATTACAAGTTAGTCTATTCGGTGTATACTTATGTAACACCCAAAACATCCTCTGGGGAGAGTGTAGCAAGCAGTGAATCACACGGACCCCAGCGCTGCATTGCCTTTGTTGAAATTCCACCTTTGCCACTTTCTACTATGTGACCTTGGACAATTTCATAAACCTCTCTGTGCTTCAGTTTCATCCTTTTTAGAATGAGGATACCAACAGGTTCAGCCTCTTAGGTGGTTGTTTTATTAAAAGTAAGTACCTGAAATACTGGCTGACACCCAGTGAAGGTTCAACAAATGACAGCTATCATTAATGTTCTTGAATGCTTCATTATGAATGTTGCATCACAAGAGATCATCTCGATCTTTGTCAATGTGATAAGAATTATAGACATAGGCCAAGAATAAAAAGAATATTATAATTTATGAACCCCTATTTGGGCATAGGATAAGATTGTATGTCTCAGGAATTATCTATTTGATTACATATGAGAAGTAGTATTTACCTGTGATGGAATATATTTTCACTAGAAGCAAGCAGAATAACAGGGAAAAAGAGGCATCCATACATCATAGGAAGAACTAGATAGCATAGAATGAAAGAAAAAATGATCAAATTAGGAAGGAGAAATTGTATTTAAGAAATAAATATCCATGAGTAATAAGAATATTAATATGATAATTATGTGAGATTAGTATTCTTTTTAAAAAATCTTCTTCGGAAAGATTTTTTTTCTTGATGAAATGTTAGAATCCTGATCCCCAACGACTTCCAGGAGTTACTTGGGAGGCACCTTGAGATGTCATAGCAAGTAAACACAGAGCACTTCTTAGGAAAGAAAAGAAGTCAAAATTTTTTTTAAAAAATTGATTCCTCAGAGTCCCCTACATCTGCTGGTAAAGGAAAAAATTAAACAAGAGACAAGAATTGTAGACCTATAGACACAAACCTAAACTTTTTGCTTATTCACTGCAGAGGAAAATTACAGAATTACTTAAGTTCAAAGGTAGAAAAGTTGATTCCATTCCCATAGATTTGGGGAGGAGGAAGGAGGATGTACAGAAAAGGTTGCACTTTCTTTAGAAGCCAGCTGTGAGGAACATTCTACATGCCTCACTCACATTGCTGCTTCCAGTTTATTCAGAAGTCCTATCATTGTTGAAGCTGTAAACTGATAAAGGCACACCTGTTGAAGAACATAAGAATATAAGGTAGTCTAGATCCAATTCTCTTTTTCTCCTTACTTTATGCAGGATCTATCTAGTGCCCTTAGTCTTATTAATCACCAATGTTAGATTTCTCCAGAATAGACCTTCTATTAGCCAATTAAGTATTTAGGTGTAAAAATTGGGCACACAATTTATCCTCTGCAGTTTAAGTCATCAAAGATTCGATACTACAAAAACTGGTAGATAGTATTATTAGGCTTTCAACTTAAATTGCTAAATTAACACTTCCCTATTTAAAAACATCATTTAACATAGTTTCTTAAGAGTATGGCTTTTTAAAAAGATAATTTAAAATTCTATAGTAACAAAAATACCCTCTAAAGTACTTTAAAATTACAGTTTTATGACTCTATAAATTATAATAAACTAGGTACTTCCCTAAACACAGGTTTCTTTTAAATATGTACCAATATGGGTCACTGTGGTAATTTTTTATTGAATTTATTGGGACGACGTTGGTAAATAAGATCATATAGGTAGGTTCCAAGTGTACAATTCTCTGATACATCCTCTGTATAGTGCATTGTGTGCCCACCACCCAAAGTCCAATCATCTTCCATCATCGTATACCTGGCTCCCTCTACCCTTTATTTCTATCCCCTACCCCCTTCCCTCTGGTAATCACCCCCTGTTGTCTGTGTCTATGAGTTCCAGTTTTGAAAAGGTTCACACATATCAAGCTTCCACATCAGAATCCAAATCCCACATGAGGAATGTGGTCGATAATATTGTAATAACTATATATGGGGCAGGGTGGGTACTTGAAGTATTGATGAGACCATTCTGGACTATATGATTTTCTGCCCACTATGCTGTACCCCTGAAACAAGTACAGAGTAATATTGAGTGTAAGCTATAATTCAAAAATTTTTAATAAAAAATCCAAATCTCATATCAAGCTTCGAGAACAGAATAGGAATTTATTTCTGTCTATTCTAACACACTTGTTATGTGATAATTTTAAAATCTCTAATTTACTTTTAAATTAAATTTTGGGGGTAACATAGCTATCTGCACTCCTATATCCATTAAAGCGTTATTCACGGTGACCAAGACATGAAAACAACTAAAGTATCCCTTGATAGATGATTGGATAAAAGAGATGTGACATATATACACAATGGAATGCTAGTCAGCCATAGGAAAAGATGAAATACTGCCATTGCAACAACATGGATAAATCTTAAGATTATGCTGAGTGGGAGAATCAAGATGCGGAGGAGTGAGTGGAAGTCACACTGACCCCCTCCCAGGGCCAACCTGGAATTACAACTAAATTGAGGAGAAATCACCTGGAACGAGCAACTGAACAATAGCAAGACAGGAGCCATTTAACCTCGGACAGACAGAAGAATCAGCTTTACCACAACCTAATTGGTAAGGAGTACAGTAGAGACTCGAGAAGGCAGGCGGGTGCCCACAGGTGGTGGCACCAGAAGGATACTGAAATGGCCAGTTGGATGCCCCTGAGAAGAGGGGCGTCTAAACCATAAGCAGGGATCCCCAGCCTACAGCACCAGCCCCCAGGAAGTACACAGGTAACAGCCAGTTGTGAAAAGCAGCAGGGTGCTCTTTGCCAGAGACAGGAGGCCAGAGATGCAAAGAGCCGTTTAAAGGGGCAATGCATAAATTTTTGTTTGCAGCCACCTACGCTAGGCTCCTGCAAAGGCAGGGGCAGAGTGGGCTGGAGACGCCTGAGTAGAGACTGGGGAAGGAGGCTTTGGGGAGGGAACTGAGAGAGTAGCTGATGAGATCGCGGTACTGGCTCATCCCCCATGTCACAGCAACCATCCTGCTCACCCAGACCACGCCCCTGAGTAGCAGCAGCGTGCAAGAACCCAATAGCCCCGTACCCTGGAGGCTCTGCTCAGGCCCGTAGTGCTAAAACCTGATGGCTGAGCACAGAGTGGCAGCCACAGATAGTAGATCGCTGACTAAAGGGCATGCAGAGTGGTCTAGAAACACTTAAGGAGAGACTGGAGATGGAGGCTTTGGGGAGAGAATGGAGAGACTAGGTGGTGGGATCCCGGTGCTGACTCCTCCCCCATAGGCAGCAGCCTTCTGGCTCAGGCAGACCACACCCCTGAGTGGCAGCAGCGTGAGAAGACCCAATAACGGCACCCCCAGGAAGGACTCTGCCCCACCCTGTAGTATCTCTAAGTCGGCCTGCTGAGTGCAGAGCTGAAGGAGACTGCTACAGATAGTAGATTCCTGAATCTTGTAAAAGGTCTTGTTTTAGTTCTGTGACATACACCATTGGTATCTTGATAGGAATTATGTTGAAGCTATAAATTGCTTTGGGTAGTATGGACATTTTAATGATGTTAATTCTTCCTTCCTATGAGCTGTGTCTATGAGGATTCAAGATAACATTCACGTCTCTGGCCATTAATCTCTGTAGCAAATAAGACAAATGCTGGGATTTATCTTCCTCAAACAACCAATGACTAAGTGTTCTCTCAGGTAGTAGAACTGTTTAGCCCAGTCACTCAAACAGCTTAGCCCTTCAAGATATTTTTCCCCTAATTAAAAGTATGTCTCTTCCTCTCCCCAACTTCATTCCAGAAAATTGGGGACTTATGAAAGTTTCTACAAGCAATGAGAGATATCTATGCCAAAGAAAATATAACAAGAAAACATCTAGAGGATGAGATACCAAGTGAAGATAGACTTCAACCTAGGCAGAAATTTGAGTTTCCAGAAAGCCCTCAGGTACTTTTATCAGAAAAATAATTCTTCCACTTTTATGGGCAGATACAGGCTCCCTGGGTTTTTACATCATTACTGTTTTAAATAAAAAAGAATGTAAAGTCATTATAGGTTGGTTTATTAGACTATGTGGAACAAATTCAAATGAAGTAATCCCTTCTGGACAGTTTTGTCTTCTAGAACAATCCTTAGAGAAAAAAGACTTGGGTCTTGCCAAGAAAGAATAACACATAGACAAACATGTGAAAAGCCTGTGATTTGAAAAGAAAAAAATAAATAAAATGAAGAATGTATGGCTTTCATTTTAGGAAATCTTTAGGTAAAGCAAACACTATTTAAACCAAATGAAGGGAGAGCCAGTCTCAGGTCCCCTTATTCAGTCATAGCCCTAGAAAAGGAGGAGGTCCTTTCAGGGTGCCCAACCCATGGCCCATGGGCCACATGCAGCCCAGGATGGCCATGAATGCGGCCCAATACAAAATCATAAATTAAAACTTAAAACCTTCTTTTTGTTGTTCATCCGTTTTCATTAGTGTTTGTATATTTAATGTGTGACCCAAAACAACTCTTCTTCTTCCCTTGTGGCCCAGAGATGCCAAAAGGTTGGGCGCCCCTGCTAGATGTTAGAGGTCCAGAGCTCAGAAACAGAGAAGCTGGGGACTGTGAGATTTATTGAAGTTGATGTTTCAATTATTGAAAGGACAAGTAATCCCAGTTGTATAGCTCGGAAGGCCTGAATCTGTCAGCTGAATCATAATGATTCAGTTCCTTATTTTATTTCAGTTCCTCAGTCCATTAATTCAGTTCCTTATTTTCAGTCCATTATCAAGTGAGTCACTGTTTCTACAAGAAAGGAATTATTTTCCAACAAAAGCCTGCCTCTACCGATGGATTCCACTCTTATTTCCCTAGGGTGGTTTACCAAGGGCTCCACTGAGCATCTTCACATCCACATATATTTGTGAGGGCCTTAAAAAAAGAGGCATTAAATACCTATCTGAACCAGCTGAAGATTTTAATTATGTGCTAAGCCCCACCAAAAGCTGGAGGTTTCCAGCTTAACAAAGAAATGAATGAAATCCAGCAACCCCAAATGTTATATGTATTACTTCTAAGATTGAAAGAGTACTTCTATAAAGGACCATAGACAAAGGCAACAGAGCAGTGGAAGACTGAAGGTGAGTGATAAGGGTGGGCGGGGCAGGGGAGAGTAACAGGAGGATATGGGGACAACTGTAACTGGAAAAAAATAAAATGAAATGAAAGAAAGAGTACATCTAAGCTCTGTTCTTTTCTTAATGTTAGGTGACAAAAGATGGAGAAGATATCCTCAATTTAGAACTATCTGATATGATAGGTTACTATGGGCTAAATTAAGACTCAGAACTGGAGAACAAATACATGCAAGGTTTAATTCTCCACATCCCTTCTAGCTGAATGCAAAGAACTACTAATGCTTTCTGCTTATATGAACGATAGATGTATCCTAGATCAGATAATGTTTATGATAACCCAGAAGCCGAATTGATATGGTCCAAGAAGAATGATACAATGCAAACATAAACTGATAGAGATGTTGCCTCAAAATTTGCGATAATCCACAGCAATTCTCCCTAAGCCACATCTATTGTCATGTTTTAAAATGAAACTTAGACACAGGCATACTCTGAATAAGTTGGTCTATTACCTTGATAACATCATAATAGTTTCCTAAACGAAGAAGCTTGGAAGGATGTGGGAGCTATGGTAAACATTATTAGTCATCTATGACAGATCAATCTAGCCAAAATACAAAGCCTACACCAATCTGACAAATATATGGGAATAACATGGTCCATGACCACTAGAGAATTCTACAAATCCTACCTAATGCATTACATCTCTCTTACATCCTAGTATATAATGAGAAAGGAATAACACTGACTCCAGGGGATTTATAATGGGAAGTTATTCGTGCAGTGCCACCGGAACCCCGTGACCCTAGTAGTCAGACTTTCTCAGAAGTGTCTACTATATGAATATTTGGAGCTTGGAGGTTTTGGCAAAAGCCTAATACCAATGTCTTGTTTTGAAAATTTGAATTGGATTGTGTGAATATACCACAGTTTTTTGACCCACTCGTTTACTGATGGGCACCTTAGGCTGTTTCCAGCATTTGGTTATTGTACATAGCACTGCTATGAACATAGGGGTGCATAAGTTCTTTTGAATTGGTGTTTCAGGGTTCTTAGGGAATACTCCCTGTAGTTGAATTGCTGAGTCAAAAGGCAGTTCCATTTTTAATTTTTTGAGGAAATTCCATAGTTTTCCACAGTGGCTCCACCACTGCATTCCCACCAACAGTGTACGAGGGTTCCCTTTTCTCCACAGTCTCTCCAGCACTTGTTTGTTGATTTGTTCATGATGGCCATTCTGACCAGTGTGAAGTGGTATTTAATTGTGGCTTTAATTTGCATCTCTCTGATGCCCAGTGATGCTGAACATTTTTCCTATGTCTCTGGGCCCTCTGTATGTCTTCCTTGGTGAAGTGTATGTTTTGATCCTTTTCCCATTTTTTAATGGGATTGTTTGTCTTCCTAGTTTAGAGTTGTGTGAGTTCGTCACATATTTTGGAGAGCAAACCCTTGTCCAAAGTAGCATTGGCAAATATATTTTCCCATATGGTTGGTTCCCTTTTCATTTTGCTGTTGTTTTTGTTAGCTGTACCAAAGCTTTTTAATTTGATGTAGTCCCATTTGTTTATTCCTTCCTTTATATGCCTTGCTCTAGGGGACATATCAGTGAAATATTGCTGCATGGAATATCTGAAATTTTCCTGCTTTTGTTCTCCTCTAGGACTTTTATGATGTTAAAACTTCCATTTAAGTCTTTTATCCATATTGAGTTTATTTTTGTGTATGGTATAAGTTGGTGGTAGAGTTTCATTTTTTTGCATGTAGCTGTCCAAATCTCCCAAAACCATTTGTTGAAGAGACTATTTTTACTCCATTTTGTGCTCCTGTCCCCTTTGTTGAATATTAATTGACCATAGAGAATGGAATACTATGCAGCAGAAAGAAAGAAGGAACTACTACCCTTCACGACAGGATGGATGGAACTGGAGGGCATTATGCTAAGTGAAATAAGCCAGGCGGTGAAAGACAAATATCATATGATCTCACCTATAAGAGGAACCTAATGAACAAAATAAACTAATGAGCAAAATAGAACCAGAGGCATGGAAACGAGAAACAGACTGACAGCAACCAGAGGGGAAGGATAGAGGTACAAGGGCGGAAAGAAGGGGAAGGGTCAAGTCAAGGAACATGTATGAATGACCCATGGACATGGACAGCAGTGTGGTGAATGACTGTGAGAGCGGGGGTTGGGCTGGGTGGAGGAAGGAAAAGGGGGAAAAATTGGGCTAACTATAATAGAATAATAATAAAATATTTTTTTAAATGTCTATTCAGGTCCTTTGTCTATTTTTAATCAGGTTATTTGGGGTGTTTTTGCTACTGAGTTATAAAAGTTCCTCATCTAATTTGGACATTAACCCCTTATGAAATACATGATTTGCGAATATTTTCTCTCATTCTGTAGGGTGCCTTCTCATTTTGTTGGTTGTTTTCTATGGTGTGCCATGCAGCCTGGATTTGGAACCTGAGACCCTGGACTTCAAGCTGATGTCATGATGGGATGAGATCTTAATTGGCCTGACAGCTTCTGCCTCCTCCTTCTGGGAGCCCTGAGCTGCCATTTAACAAGTCTGACAATGTCACTAGAGTGAGTTCATCTATATAGTCCTGTATCTACCTAGGAAAAAAAAATGACCCAGAAGAGCCTAACATCCTAGCCATCCCTGCTATGCACCATTCATATGAACAAAGTCATCTTGGACCCTTATTAAATGCCCAGCAACCAGCAGAATACTAGAAAGTGACCTCAGTCCATGCCAACAGACATGCCATTGTTCAGTTAGGTTTTCCCTGAACTAACAGAAGGAGGATGAGGAGGACAAGGGGAAACAGCCCTAAGATTGAACCTTCTAGCTGTATAAAACTTGATATAGTAAATCTAAATTTTTAA